CTTATCATATGATTCATTGCAGGTTTATGGTAACCATCCCTTCAAATCCAATCAAACGTTTACTGTAGATATGACTCACATGGTCGCATGTTTTACTTCGTTGAGTTTCTGGTTCGTCCTCGATACTAACAAATTCAATTATTATTATTCAGAACATCTGAATCTGACTCCTTCCAGAGTGCCCTCCACCGTCGCTGCGAATAGGGCCTCATCCAGTATTAGTACAGCGCCGGTTTTGGCGTAGGCGGAGCCTCGGGCGGAGCTCTGCGAGTAGTGGGAGGGCTTCGAAGAACGGGTTGTAGCAGCGATTGAGCGCACTCTCTTTCTTTTTTTGAGAACACGTTGATTAGCGTTGTGATCGCATGAGCACGGTAGGTGTCATATGTTGAGTAAATACAAGATGCCTATTGGAGTGCACAGCTAGATCTGACGTTAATATCTCAGCTCAGCCGACTGCCAAATGAAACCAGATAATTAATGTAATTAGTTGATTGCAAGAAGAATATACGACACTCCGCTATAGAACTGACGAATTTGTGTGTGTCCTGTGTAGCCTTAGAGGCGTTCGTTGACATACTGCGTTGCTGACCCTTCTCACACGTAGGCCTCACAGGCAGACTCTCTATAGGCCCCCTAGGCTGTGTAGGGCATTATCATTACCACCACTTGGGTGAGATCACTGTTGGAGATGTATTTTGCCAAATTCGACGTATGTATGCCTTGAATAAAGCGTCAAGATCAAACACTGCATTGCTGCGTTCCATTTGTTGCGTGGTCGGTCCCTTTGAGATGATGATTTGATCGGGAACTCATTCAGGGGCGTTTGAGGTTCCAATGAAGCCGCCACGTCGACTGAAGGCTTTAAGCAGCCGCATGTAAATCATCGGACAACATGCAGTCTCGTAGAAGGTCAGAAAATTCCAACCCGGTGAAAGGGGTCCCTGATAAACAATCAACAGCCCGCAATATCAAGCCGGATAGTGCAATAGTAGAATGATCTTTAAAGGCCCAGGTGGCTGCTAATATTGACAACGTTCGGAACGTGGCCTGACATACATGAGACAGAGGACGAAAAATCATCTTACGATGCTAGAAGAAATTACGACCTCTTGTCATGGAACCCTTAAAGTACTGTTAGTTAAAAAGATGTCCTGAAATGTTGTTTTTCAGTCCTCTTGTGCGACAGTTGTTGCTCTGAATGATTTTACTGCCTGGATTTTATTCAATATGAATGGCTATACGTATCCGATACGAGCTCGAGAAATCCCGCAAATAATATGTAGTCGTTTATTGTACATTGCAATTGGGATGTAACACAAATAGACTTATCTTCACAAAAAACAGAATCGTTTATTATAGACGATATCTCTCTACTTGTCAGCTTAGTAGAATTTTCGTAGCTGGATCGAGATGCAGGACGCCTAGAGGCGTCCTGGCGCTGAAAACCATAAAGTAAAACAACTATAGAACGACACATTGTTTCCATTTCATAATAATAATTTATACAGCAGCCGGATCTTTTGCACCCTACATTCACGGCAACAACGAAAAGTATACCAATTGGCAGGGCATTGATATATTGCCTAACTTCGTCGCTTCCTACCAAGATGCACCGACAATCTCATCGCGCTTAACGTGTGGTAATAGGGGTCAGAAAGTTTGGCCAACTCAAATCTAGTGATCGTACAAATGAGGTACTGTTTGATAGGTTTTTAGTTTTCCAATTTGGCAAACTTTAAGATTAACCCATTATTGGCCAAAAAAAAAACATGTTCCATTGCATATAACCTATATACTGGTCTTGAATTCAGTATAACAGGCGACGTGGTGTAGTTATCCGGGAAGCTCGTGCAAATAAGCGTTTCGGGTTCTGTCTATAAACGATCAATGTTTACCCATGTTTATAGTAGGATTTCATTACAGGATTGTTGTCGGCGAGGCAGTTGCCTCCCCATATTTGCCCAGAAACGAATTTTGAAGCATCACATCGATCACTAGCCAGTTACCGTAATAACTCTGTTTCAAACCATCCTGTCTCAGCCGCACTTCGTTCCAAATATAAAAAGAACGGTGGCAACCCGCCTCGATTCTCCTATCCAACAAAGCTTAAAGAAGCCGGATTTTTTCGGCACATGCACTTCTCGGACAACAGAGATACAATAATTAATTTTGTAATTAAATAAGGATTGAATTTATTTGATAATTAAATTTTAGATCAGACCCTCGTTCATTTGTGATCGGGCGATCTTTATTGGCACTCTCAGACTCAAGACGCACGCAGGAGTTGTCAAGCATGAACAGGGGTCCGGACTGTCGAAATTCTAACGATCTGAACAAGGGTAATAGTCACTTGCTGCTTATATGAGCCCATACTCGGCAATGATACTCTTCAAGTATGCCTTATATATGCTCTACAGAGAATTATTTATAAAAATCATTTTTAATATTCTGTTCGAAAATCGCGTTTTTCCTTTCGGTCACAGTACCTATTACCATCTTGTAGCATACATAAAAACCTGGCCAAAAGACAAATCGAATATCGGCTCGTCGTGTTGTTCAAAATGAGATACGGAGAAAAACAAGCACATAACAACAATAGCAACAATAACAACGGAGGGCATGCTTGCATTTAGTAACTAACGGGCTGCGCATACAAGGTTTTGAAGAATTGGACCTAATAATGCTCAAAAAGTGACGTAACTTCCAACGTTCTCATAACAGAATTTTTAGTTAATCTCGCTTATTTATTTGGGCAATTACTAACCCGGTTTTGGGTCTTGTTTCCATTAGGACAAATCAGCAACGTTTAATATGTCGTGATCTACGAACGAGACGCTAGTCAAGGGAAGCTCTACAACCGATCTCTATAATCAGTACGTATAACATCCGTTTCCGACTCTATAAAGCGTGACGTTTTTGTTCGAATTTAGGATAGGTTACATCCACTGAGAAGTGTGGTTATCACAACATTACGATTCTGGTACAGATCGTTGTGATACGTTGTATCAAAATCTGTCTGGCGGAACACCTAACGGCGATATCGGACGTAAAACTCAAAGCATAGAAGTTCTATTAAAGTAGATGCGCAACGGCCAGTTAAGGGTAGAAGTTTAAAAGACTGACCTAAATGTTTTAAGCCTTTACCCTCTATGTTGATTATTGCCATGTCACAGTTATAACGGACCAGCTGTTCAGCTGTAACGCATAATCAAAGGGTCAGTAGTAAAGTACAATATATTCCAATTTATTGTTTATTCGAGCCTTTATTTATTTATTATTGATTCTACTCGCAGCATCCAAACACTGCCCGAAGGGTTAACAAATAACAGTAAAATTAATAATAAAGGCGCTTGTGGCTTAAGGATATTATTTTAAGGACAAATTCCTAAATCAGATCAAGTGTTTATATGTATTTCATGTTAGAGCTTATTTAAAATATCTGTATACTTTATTAATAAACTCATGTCATTATGCATGTTAAGAAATTATACTATTATAAAAGTAAGGTTATCGCAGATTCAACAGAAAACACCTAACTTGGTCGATCGGAAATCCTGCCTTGCGTGATCGGACTGAACAGAAAATAAATCGGTTTATGAAAAACCAAGATTTTATTATCAGGCTGCTTAATTCGACGGAACTGCCACACCGTCCGACAGCTGCGACAACAAGAATTAGGTCTTCATTCGCCTACGACCGTGCGCACTAACATGATCGAGCTTCATTTGTAGACGTGATGTCAGTAGGTTTGATCATATTGGTGCTGTTAAAACAAAAGAAGCTCATAAAATCATAATACCTTCAATAGTCGAAAGCCGACATAATCCTTGGATTTTTTTTTTTATATTTCACAACAACAAATGGCTCTTCGTGATATAATTTAACTTAGGCCGTTTGCTACAGGAGCTTTGTTGTTCCGAGACAGCAAATTAAAATCGTCCTGTTGAAAAATAGGATCTAACTAGATTGTTTGCTTTCCATACTCGGATTCAAAATTCAAGTGTTTTTTAAGGTATAATACTAGTCAGATTAAAATAGCATCAACTGAGGTAAATAAATATATTAGAATCGTAATGTCAACGTCTTTCACTATTTCTCAAAAAAAATTCAACTGGACCTCGTTCTTCTAGATCCATTCTTTCTACCTCTTAATTCCCGTACGACTGGCAAGGTAATTTTATTCAATTAAGAACAACCTCCGATATTTTTATCGTCGTTACTAATTTGTTAATAATAAACAACCATAAAAATAATAATAATAAAATGTTTTTGAGAATTCGTTTTGTAAACACGAACTCGACTATACTTCGATAGAGCGACGGAGCTTCTATGTAACGAGCTGTCGCCTCTTCCTGCGTGATCCTGTTGCCATCTACAAAATTTCTGGAAATAGGTTGATTCTCTAGCACATTGTTTCTTTATTTTTTCTATATTATATATTCTTCATCGGCTTCTACGGCCAGTAGCGATATATTTTTACACGTATGTCTGGACAGATGTTAGCATTAAATAATGAAATATAGTAGTTATGCCTTTCCGTTCGCCCTTGTTTAGCTCGCACCGAAATAGGTGAAGATGCGCCCGATGTAGCTGAGTTCGGTGCAGTCTCTGATGAAATGGTCATCATAAATGAAAAACAGCATTTTTATAGTTTGGCTCTCTAGAGTCAGATATGTCCTACCGTATACAATGCTCTGAACCTTTATGTAGAAATTTAACCTAAGGAATCCTAATCAGCAGTCTCTGACGGCCCCGAAACTCGTACTAATATCCCAACCAGGGCGTATCATGACACAGGACATGACGCCCTATACCTATACGCGAGGACCATTTGTCGCACAATATAAAAAGGCGTTGAAAATGTCACACGACGATTGTGACAAAATCTGCTAGCCAAAATCGTGTGACTATATATATATATGTATGTATGTATGCACCGACCTAGAATACCGATTTACGTACGTGTAAAGTGAATTAAAAGCCAGCTAACTTTTCCCGAATTGAGTATTTTATTAAAATAAAAAACCACCAACGCATGATATGCTAAGCCGAAATACTATACGATAGTTATATATATGCAGTCATCTTCTAGAAGATGGAACCTCATTCTTACTCAGAAAAGTGGACCAAAAATTAGATTTATATTTATATAGCAACGCATATATAAGCTAGAATTATCGATTGTAGTATTTGTAAACGTTCATTGGGTTATACGAATGAGTGTCTGCTGTCAATTGGACAAGTAGATATTTTCGGGAAAGGCGTCTGATAATGCTTTGCCAGTCTCTTATTAATTGACTTTGGTCTTCGACACTTTATTTCGTCTAAGCGGATCGTTCATGGCAGCACAGTAAGGCTCTTCTGAGTTGATATTTGAGGTATTTTATCGGAGTTGAAGGTGATTATAAGGCTACGCTGGCCGAATCCTTTCGGAGTGAGCCGGCTCGATACGGCAAAATAATCCCCGGCAGCTGGCGGCCTGAAATATTTATTGTGCATTTAACGGTAAACATATATTGGTTGATACTGGCTTTATTTTTGTAGTATGTTGAAAAATTAAGCTGGCATATTTTCTTTACACGGCTAGCCTTCAGCTTATAACGGAAATAGTTAATGACAGTCATAGCAAAGTGGCAATTATATAGGCTAGTTCATCCTAAGGTCTTTGTTTCGATTAAAGATCGTAGGATTCGGGCGCCTCACGAGATCACTAATCATGCGCGACTTACTTGACTTTTTCGATAATTTTCTAAGTTTTAATTAGTATCTCTAGCATGTTTTACATAGTGTGACCTTCTGGATGACAAGGTTCTCCTCAGGTTTTTTTCCGAGTTTGACACTTTGACTGTTTAATACAGTAGGATAATTATGTCAGTAGACAAATCAATTAGGTTGGACGCGTTGTCCTTTACGGTAGAGGACCTTCTTTTCTAAGTTTAGCATCGTATCGCATGGATATGTCATATGTCTATAAGTGTCCGAATACAGAGATATGCTTATATTAAGTAAAGTTACAAGTAATCGAAGTTTTCTCTACTAACTCGAGCGGAGAGACCGAAACTAGGTTAGGTTGAAGCGAGGTCTGTCTCATCCCCCACTTCCCTATTTAATTTTGCCGCCTAACTCCGGCGCTTTTAGAAACGCGTACATGAAATCTATACCTTTTCACAGAAAGAATCGTTTTCTGAGTGATACCCGGCGATTCGATTGTAAAGTGGGCGTTGTTAAGTGCAACAGGTAGGGGGTTGCGTAGAGAGAGTCCAATATCGAAGGGGCGTCCAACTTTCTGCTGAGTGTCGCACTGAAAATTTTCTCATACAAATAATCAGTTCACTGTTAGCTCAGCGACGTGTCCGACTCCTGATTGCACGATACCGCAGAGTAGCTAGTGTGTGGTGTTGAACTTTATCGTACAAGCTCACACTGGCTAGATTCAACGCCCGTTGATTTTCCATTTGGTACATAACTAACGAAGTTGTTGCAGATCGATTGGGACATCTGCGCACCCGTTCCCTGGTATCTCATCTTGGGATAGTATATTTTTACTAACCAGCGATAGCAATCTGTGAACTCGATCCTTCGTAATCAATCACTTCCAAGACTTGCGTTCGAATGATGTCTTGGTGCCTGGTATTAAACAAATGTACCCCAGCGTCATATGGGAAATATTTTTTGCTGGATCAACAATAGTCAGCCTACAAAAACGTCGATGGAGCCCTTTTCGAAATAAGCTCAACAAATACATGTGCATTTCGCCATTTAGTGTACGAAGGCGTGTAACCGTTTTCGCCCGAAAGGATTAGACTGAAATTCCCATGATCAGTACAGAATAATTAAAAATTTCAAATAACATTTCTGTACCAAAGACGTTTGCCGTACTTGCTAAATAATGCGACTCCAATGGCTAATCGTAAATATATTTGCTATTGTGAATTAACAAAAAGCTAAGGAACACCGAGGCGGGTACAGCCAGCCCAATTTTTTAATATACAGCTGTGTTTACAAATGTAAGTCGAAGTATACTGACAGCCACGGTGATCGGTGGTAGGCTCAGGCCGAACTCCTCAGTAATCATAAAGTCTGCCCCATCTTCAGATACGGCCTGTAGGATCGTAGCCAGTTGTTCACTAACGCGTACAGGCAGTGCGTAATCAGCATACGTCACCTCCAGGGTCAGCTCGAGAGCTGTCAGATACAACAAAACAATGAAGGCGTGCCAATGATTTGTTAGCGGCCAAATACGACTATTCATTTGGGTATACGTGGTGTAGGGTCTGGATAATTACTTTTAGTTGGCGCATTCTACTTGCCTGCCTACTAAATTATAAAATTCCTGCAGAGGTTTTACCTAATATTTGCTTTTGAATGTTGTCTAGATGGCTGCGTGAAGAAGATATGTAAGGTTATGTAAGCGTGTCCAACGGACACGCTTACATAACCTTACATATCGCTAGTATTATTACATCCATCTCAAAGTGCAAAAAGATCGTACAATCACGAGGTTCAAGGGTTTCATGGAAAATTCGCTGCCTTAAAAGCCTCTCGTTACAACCCGTGTAGCATTTTGATATGGCTCGCAGAAGTAAGCGGAGCGTATGGCTTCTCTCAAAGCTGTTGTTCTTTGCGACAGCGCGAATCTGTATGGTACTTCCGATAAGGGCGTCATCATCCGGCATATGAATTTCCAGCACGACGTCGGACTCTGCACCGGGCCTAGGCAGACTCCGAGTGTACCGCGGCAAATGAGGCTGAAGTTGTCTTAAGGCCCTCTCGTAGACGAGGCGCTCCTCGCTATTCCCTAAAACAGCAAATATCGTGTAGTTAGCACATAGCTTAGAGTGATGCAGTGGGATGGTATAGGTACTGGTAAGGCCTAACGGCACATTTACTCAGTGCTGATATTTTCGATTGTTTAAATGCTACCTAGCTAGTTTTGGTTGTTTAGTATTATTGCTATTACCAGGTAACAGGGCACAATATTACTTTGCCAGAAGATGCAGACGCTAGGAACGTGGAGGTTTTCCACATAGTTAACCTATGTATAACCTAGGCACGAGTTTAGCAATAGTTTTTTAATGTTCAGCTGTATCACGCATAACCTACAGCAAAGACAATAGAACGGTAATGAGACATCGATCTAGAGTGAACATAACAAAAAGAGAAAAGATAAAATGAGAGATGCAGAAATGGCAAAGTAAGGGTTTCTAGAATATATGGTCAGTAGTACACTAGTAAGGCGGTGGAGGGCGACCAAGCACTATATGCATAGTAGCATCGATATGTCCTAGGTTTGACCTCAACTCACCTTCTGGAGGTTTGTAGTTATTGGTGATATCGACCCGGTTGTTAGATAGGACAGCTTTGGTGCTCATGTTGACGCCGACACTAAAATCGATTTCGTGTTCGATTGTATATATATTTGTTAAATCCTTCTGATCATACTACGTTTCATAGCTAAAGATACGTCATTTAGGGAAAAAGGGCATCGACTAAAGGCATGAGTGTATCAAACGTTGCAGCTCATTAGTGCATTACTTACTCATCGATGAGGCGTTTGATCTCTTTACGACGTCCTCGATTGTCCTGGCGATAAAAAACAACATCGGCATTGACTTCGGCAAGTACAAAGGCGCAATCATACTTCACGTCGATTTCACCACGCCGGACTGCTTTCACGCTGGCCGGACCCACCCTATAACCGTTGTGTCAGCAGAAACATAAGATAGATACATGAGCAATAGTAGATACGTACTTTATATACATGTAGACTCTGTATGTAGCGTGTAGCTTCCAGCATGACTTTGGGCTAATGTACGCACGACGTAAATTCTGACCTATAAAAATTAATGTTGTATGATGGAATAAAAATCCGACAAAGCGCAGTATAAATAACTGCTTTGATTTCATTCTTGATAACTGATTTCTGTATGTAGACACCCATAAATACTATAATCATTAAGTAAAGAAGCGGCATGGATTGGATTAGACTTAAGCCTAAAATTAACGATATAATATGAGTTTTACTGGAAATTTCCTGTATAAAATAACATAGACAAATTAGGTATTTAACGCTTTCACAAAGTACGAAGTTAATTTAGCGACATTAGTAACTTCATTATGTCCTCACCTAAATTCACCATTGGAAAGTTCCTGTGGAGTGGCGTCAATAACTTGCCACCCATCGAAATCACCGGGGACTGACCCTCGCAGGTCATCCCTCCGCATCCAGACCTCGTTCCATACGTGAAATGACCTAAGCAACAATAAACGGTTCGATACATTAGATAACTAATTCAGACTAGTAGTAAGAGCTTCAGTATCGATTTATTGTTCATACCGCTACGCGGACAACGCATTTTCAGGAAAATTAACAACAAGATGATAGAGATATTGTAAACTTTTGTGGTCCCCTAATAATCTCTCTTCGATATCATTGGTATTGTTTGTTGAATAACTATAAAAGGCGATAGTCTTGCTTGCTTCCAGTCTTGCAGTCGTACGAGAGTAGACACTATGCGATCCTATGTTAAAGCGGCAACCTTTAAATTGGAACGTTTAGACAAATCTCAAATGACCCGGCAAGATAGAGAAGTTGTGCAAAAGTTTCCTTTACCAAATACTATCGTTCCGACTCTCTGAAACGAGTTCATCGTCTTCGTTGTAGATGTAATCGAGAACGAGGTTTCCGTGGACATCATGGGCAGAACGATAATTAGTAACACACCTAAAAACCCATGGTATTGGCTGACATTGCTTGATTGTAAACCACCAAAATTACAAATAAATATTTTACTGTTCTCCTTAAAGCAGATACCGTATATAGTATTTATCATATACTATTATATGTACTTATACGGGATTTTTCATTTTGAAAAGAAAAATTTAGTTTCTAAAAAGCGTAGCTCCACATACATACTTAACCAAGGTAGTTAGTTTGTCTATCTCACCTGCTTGGCAGTCCTAAAGCTCTGCAGAGGGTGTTACAGACGCCTGCAAAAACAAAGCACTGACCGTATCGGACTATTGAGCGTTTTTTATGAAACAGTTGTAGTATCTCAACTGATGAGCTCCACTCCCATGGAGACCGACTATCTTGCTGATCGTGGAACTTGTCAGACCAGTTACCCTCGACAATGCCATCTTGGCCACGCTGTCAATGAACAAGAAATAGATCTGTTAACTCTCCCTAAATAATAATCTTCTTTTGCACACCCTCATCGAATTTGTCAGGAGCGATTCAAACTCGTGCGACGTAGAACCCGCGGAAGGGTGCGAAGATCTTTTTTGCAGCTTATAAAAAACATCTTACAGCAAGTAAAAGATATAACAATGTAAAAGGAGACGGTTAGTTATTTATGAATAGACGCTAGTAGCGATAACAAGGCATATACCTACATGCCCATTGACTATACTGGAAATGGCCCGGGATACGTGAGTCGGTTCTGCCATTTTTCGCACATCCAGATTTGCTAATTCACGCAATGCGAAACATACAATTTCCAAGATTTTCTTTTCATGCTGGCCGAATACCCAGGCGAGCTCCGATATACGATCCTTTCGGCCGGAATAAATGAGGCCAGTATCCGCCAGGACATACTCATCTCGCTCTCTTGTAGCCGGCAAATAAACCGGATCATCTGAAGCGCAGAGTCAGTGCACGGTGGAGCGCGTTTCGTGTCAATGCTATGCTGTAACTTAGCTTTTTATCAAAATACACTAATAATAAATACACTAATAAATAAACTAAATCGTTCAATTCTCGAGGGACACTTGGGTTGGTGTCAAAGCTTCGGTCGATGTACCTGGACTCCATGGATTGAAGAGAATGAAGATTGGTTTATCATAGTGGAAAATCTTGTCAACAAGATTGCTCCGGTTCAACAAATGGGTGAGGATCTTGAGTCTCCATTCGCCAACGGCTGCACGGACCGATATGGCCACCTAAAAGAGATCTAGATTAGGCTAGGGAATATATACCATAATATGGAGAAATACAACATGTAGACACATCTGTTCGTAAGTAATTTCTCTCGTATCTTCCTAGACAAGTACGTTAAAGCCAGCTTGTTACTAAATAACCGCATTCGTAAAAAATGTAACAATTACCTACAAAAACTTTTCGTAAAAGACTTTTATAGACGTGAACAAATAAAAGAGCCATCCAAAACACGTAGCCAATGCGTCCTTGTCACTGTAACGTCGTCTATCATTAGTTTTCGTCAGCCAGACGACTATCGTTTCGGTCAGCTATTGTAGGTCTACTTACGTCAAGGACGATGGTATTGCGTCGCACTTCAATGAGGCGGGCACTCCATAAAGTTGCATGTTCTGCGACCCGTCGAGAGACGGTGATACGCTCGACTCCATCCTCTCCGTAAATGAAACGAGTTCCTGTCGACGGCGCCAGCGATTGGGTAAAGCAACTGTATTAGTGGCATATGAAAACGATATTGAATGCTAGTCAGAGTCGCTATCCTCACACGTTTACAACTACTCGTTACTCTTCTACGGATAATCAATATCGTATTTAACCCGTATTCTAGTGGACAAACTTCAAGTGGCCTTGGCATACCGCTCCACCTAGCAAAATACGTAATTACGGTGGCTTGCCAGCGGTGCCGCTACGAACGACTTGCTCGTTGCGAAATTATTACGCGTTTACGTAAACTATTTGTCTTGTCGAACGTCCAGCCGCGATGGTTTTACACAAAGCAATATTTTCTTTCTTGTTTGCATGTACCGTCGTGCCGTCCAATTACGTATACGATTCATTTTAGTTTTAATCACCACTTCTACATTTCTAGATTAGTCCAAGTGTCGACGGTGTTACGTATCGTACGGAAGGTGCCCCCGCAACTCTGTTAGGCCAATCTACAACGACGTATTCTAATCAACCACAAGTACTTAGGCAAATTTCAATACAGCCCTTCTGCCCTGTAGCGTGTAACATTAGATCACCAGAACACCGCGATACTTTTTATGACAATAAGGCTGCTGCAGTTTATTGCTGTTTCCGTAGTAGGCCACTGTTCTGCATTGACAGCCTATATTCTTTGGCTAATATTACTCTTGCTAGCGTTGTCTCTATCTAGAACGATTGTATGATCTATTTATTCGAATGTTTGGCCTATCGCTAGTGAATATAAAATCGTTCTTATCGTTATCTCTGTACAACGGTCGTGTGGAAACGTTAGCAGAAAACGCAGTTGTTGTCGTCCCTATCACTATAAGAGCTATGGTCGTCATAAAACCTACAGAGGTCTACATTCATAACTCTGTCTCAGCACGAAGAGGCAGCCCGTATGGACGAAACGACAGTGAGTGTGTGCGCGAACAGAACTATAACAATAACAAATGAAATTTATTTGCATTATATGTCCACATGTACATACACGAACTATGTGTCCCGTCTTATATCCCGACGAGCAGTCTTTACGGAACGCCTACTAACGGGCTCGTTTTCCGCAAAAAAAACAAGGCTAGCGCTGCCGGTAAAAGTCGTTAGTTAATTAATTAATACGCGTCGGTCGCCACCCACCGTAGCGCCCCTGTCATGGGTTGTTGCAATGATCTTTGCTGACGATCTTGCTCGGCGAATGAATAGTATCCCCAGACGCATCAGAAACGACAGTCGCAACAAGGACAACGGTAATAACTCGAGCCTACCATCACGCCATTAACAGACATTTCTAAATATCTGTGTACAAGTACATGCATGTACGAATAGGATAATTCACGGAAGATATCGCCGCCCGTATCGCCGAAGTGATAGTACGGCAGAAACGCGCGCGCGCGCGCCAAGTAACGCGAACTTGAGCAACGAACGCTGCTGCCGCTAGCAACAATGAATCGTCGCAGGAGAGATAAGGAAACGAAGCCAGAATTATGAAAAGGCACACACCGTTACTGCACAGTAATGTCTATGTAAGGTGCACATGGAAACAATGTCCGTATGTCGTTGAATTATGCACGTGAACGTTCAACGCTGTGTTGTGTCGGCTACCGCTGCTGTTCCCCTTACCGAATATTACGCGCTTTTTTTTTTGTGTCAAAGATTAAGGATAACAACGCCACGAGGGGTAGGTGTAAATGTGGCCTAATATAAAGAACAAGATTTGTATATTGTTATCCATTTTTCGACTGCGAAGTACAACATCGAAAAGCGGTGCTGGCCGGATCACCACATGACACCGGTCGTGTATCTCAACACAGTCCTGCGCTATTTCGAATGCGCCCGCGCCTGCCAGGACGGCAACAAGCAAAGCCGACATCGCAAATAAGCGTCGTTTACCGTCGTATCTTTAAGGTCTGCCGGCCTAATTACTGTGATGAATGGGAGGGGTGACGGGAGCAGGATGAACGCAATATAAGCTAATTCATGCTATGTCTCGAACTAAAGCTAAAGATTACGGCTTGATTGTTTGTCTGCTTTGAACTTCCAGAAAAAAAAAACCATTGTTCTTTAACCAGTAGCAGCGCGTTATGTTTTGTGTCGATACAGATATTTAGATAAATCAGATATCAGTTACTTGTATTCACTTTTCGCTATTTCCTGCGTACATATGTTGAAAAACAATTGACTATTGTATCTAGCTAGATGGCCTGAAAGTCGTGCGTTTTAGGCAACATGGGTCGCGTCAGGTTGGAGTTGGTATCATTTGGAAACTGAGGTTGGACAGATGTAGTGGTAGGTGCGCTTGTAAAGTGTCTACTATTCAGACTTGAGATAAAATGAGTAGGTAAATTTTGCAGAAAAAATTCGCTTTATTTTGCAATCTTATTACGGCGAAGGCGTAAACGAAGAATGCGTCATCGGAGAAAACAGCCCCAAGATAGTTCTATAAATTTCGATGTGAAGGATGCCCCTTGTAGTAGTAAATCAGTTACAAAGAGAAGTTGACGAAACTATCGCGAAATCGAGCAAGACCGAACCCTCTGTAACCAAACAATATTCACTACCAGACGCTTCTAAACCATCCGAACACCGTTTGTTTGCTGAAACTGGAAATCGTTTGTTATAAATTGCTACCGTCAGGCAGGCAAAACGATTTGTTTGGACCTCTACTGCCAACAGCTAGCGAAATTACAAGAGGCCATTGAAAAGAATCGACTGGGACTAGTGAGCAGAAAAGGCGTCATCTTCCGTGATGACAACGCTAAAGCACGTAACTGTTCAGCTAGCCGATAGACGTTGCGGGAATATGCATAGGCCCCGATCCCGCATCAGCAGGCTATGATCTCTTCTGGCCTTTGCAGAAGTCCTTCAATGGCGGTCATGCAGCCTTAGTCGAAAGTAGAAAAAATAGCTTGTCGCAATTTTCCACCCAGAAACCATAGAAGCTCTACCGCGATGGCATTATGATGTTAACCGGGAAATAGTAGAGGGTCGTCAGTCATATTACTCTAAAGTGCAATGAATATTTAGTTTAATTATAGCCTAAAAATGGTCGATATTTTTCCGAGAACCCAATATATATATGCTTGTTTCTTACCGGATGTGTACAGCGTTTGCGCAGAACCCAAATATGGAGGACGCATGAATATAATTATTATGAAACTGGATTCAAATGTTGTGGTCAAGTTGGATATAGATGTGGATTTTCCAAAAAAATAACGCGTTTATGGAAAACGCACCATGTCTTCTTATACAAAGAAACGTTTGTTTAATATCTAAATAATCAAGTCGAAATAATAATTAGCGAAAAACTGAGCCGCATAAATAGACATTAAATAATGAAAGAAGACGAGGAGACATCGACCTTGTGGCTGAGTCTCTCTGCTTTTGGTCTTATAATCGAAATAATCGACCTCTTCGATGCTTCATCCGTTTCATTGAGTCGGTATGAGAAGCGGAATGCGTTTCGTTGTTACTTATTATTGGCGCCTTTGGTGAATCCAATTTGTCAAGCGACTTTGTCTTAGTTGGATGATCTCACTAGTTTTTAATCCATTTACAACTGTGTTTGTATCTTGTAACCTAAACGTATCGATAAAGGACAAGGAAAGCTTACATCAATTAAAAGATCCTTCTCACCTTCATACGTCAAGGATTTTTGGAGCTTTCACCCCTTGTTTCGCCCGAAACACTTCGCTTCCTTTTCGTTTATACATCGTTTCGTTTCGTGTTTATCTAATTTCGTATCAATATAATTATTAACGCATACAGGAAAAATATGAGTAAGAATTCTCTTGCCAACATCAAAACAGACGTACCAGCATACGTTAAAACCAGTTCAACATGGTCAAAATCTGGCTGAAATCGGCGAGAAAGCTGTAAGACCAATTGTACCGGTTGTCCTCGGCGTGCGATCAGAATTCCGTGCCGTGACCCGGAAAATCTATCTGTATGATGGGTTCGACAATTGAAGTCGATCCGAGCATCAATGGACTGGATCTCAAGGATGTCGCTCTCTGAAACTGGGAGAGTAACATCCAAAACAACAGCAAAAAAGATGTCGACAAAAACGCCGAACGTTATTATTTCGCCTTATGATAATGTATTCATTACATCTGTAAAAATGTTATGCTATAGGCAAACTGCGGGTTGTTTAAAGCAAGGCGTTCTTCTAGCTCAACGTTCACATTTCAAGGGCTGAAGGTGTCTTCATATGGTCTGCTTAGAAGAGTTCAGGACGCAATCAATACAGAGCTGCATTCGATGGGCCTATTAAAGCGCTATCGGTCAAATCATATGTGCCTGTACTTTAGATATCAGCCTATCGAATAGACCGGTCTATAGAAAGGGGAACACGATGGCGTCATTTAAAAAAACATGTTCCACTATTCTAGTTTAAGAGCTACTGTCGTTGGAAGGAGTAAAAAACGAGACAAGCCGAGATAATGCTGAACGCTGTTATAGAATCACACCTGTGCCGATATCTAGACAAAAACGTAATTGTTAAATGCCTATCTCAGTCTCTAGCTCCTATGATAGTATACTTATTAACTAATTCACTTATTTAGAACCTTCCTTGAAAACATCTCCTCTTCTTTTTTCTTCTAACTTAAATCCCCTCTTTGGCTGATTTTTTTTTTACAGATTTCTAGTAAGTTTTATCCAGCCGCTGACAACTATAGCTCTTATACTTTAAATGCGCATATATGGTATAACGCAAACTGTATCGTGAGTGAAACCTGCATCACAAGTTCAGTCGGTGCTAGTATGCGAAACTTAGAACAGTAAGTTCATCATATCGAATTGACCATTGGACAACGTTTACGCGTTCGGTGAATGAAATATAGAATCAATATAGTATTCGAGACTTGGGCGAACTTAGCGGTTCCGAAACGGCAACCCTGAAGTGTTAGATCGGCGCGATTCATTTCCTACGCACACGCTTTGCGAGATTTAAGGTAGGCTATAGTGACCTAGAGAAAACATCAGTAGCTATATTGCTGGTTGGCATTGGTACATGAACGGAAGGTTGCCCGAAGCTTAGATTTCCAATACGTTGTGATCCTTTCAAGGCGGAATATTTATCCCGTTTAGATAAAGTATCACAGTCAGCTATGAACTATTTCATCGACAGGATGAGAAACCTGCAGAGTTAAGTGATTATGGACAAACATTCCGTTCAGAATGCGGCGTTTAGGCAAAGCTAACGGCAGGCCGCATTTTCCGTCGGCGTAAATGAGCACAATTTCGAACTGTCATTGACAACTGTGTGGGGCATTTGAAATGGGGGCGTAACTCTGACAGAAAGAGCAAACAATGCTGAATTTTATCGTTTCAAAGATCTGCCTTTCACTCAAATGACTTCAGCGTATTTTTCACATGTCATTATATGTGTGTGTGTGTGCGTGTGTGTTTCATCTTTCGTTATTCTAGGGCTGAATACGTAACCATTATCGCTATGTACTTCAGTTGAGTTTGACAGATTATATCGTGTTTATGTGACAGCTCCTTCAGATCGTTCATTGTCAATGACGGCTGTAAATTCATTTAACTGAACTAACAGGGTCATCACGTTTTTTCAGCTGTTATGACGATTGCCTGATGTTGCCGCCTGCCAAAACTAGGTTTGTGCTTAATGTTAACGTACACCAAATGCAGAAAAAAAAGCGCAGAGGGAAGATGAAAAGCCATTGCTTCTAATTGCAGCAATAAGAATGCTAGAAATAAGAGGCACTCATAATGTCTTCGGCACTCGGCTCTGCTTCGGGTCCGATTTGCGACATGCCACAGGCAGGATAACTGGTACTGAGTGACATTCGTTGGAATATTTTTACATGCAGAAGTGTACGCGAGGTCCACTTTGAACGTAATTGACGGTAATTGAAACTGTGGCCAGATCCTTTTGTAGGTGCCTTTTGTTTCGCTGGGACCTCCTCGCTCACCGCCCAGTTCCAGTCGCGACAACAGGTCAATCGTCTACGTGAGACTGTGCAGTACGACGATCGGGGCTGCGTAATAATCATGTAATTATACAATACGTTTTTGTAACAATTCAGCGCCATCAGATTCACAATTCATCTTAGCATTCTGCTGCATTTGCTAATTATATAAGAATAGATCATCGTCTGATTTCGTGCAGCGGCTTGTGTTATCCACTACGCGATCTGTTATTTCATAACAGATTATCATAACAGGGATCTTGTTATTAAATCGCATCATAAACGTTTTACTCTACTCAAGTAAACAAGTTAGCCTAACATGTTGCTGATAAGGGTGTTATCTCTAAAGGTAGACGAGCTTTTCTATACAGCAGAACATACCGGTTCCTCTACTTAGCTGCCACATGTGACGGTTAGCTTGGTCGCATATATCACATTACTGATTCTAATCAGTCATTGTTAAACGTATCACTTACGCAGTCCCAAACGACCCGGCCTTGCTCGACGCCCCGGCTCATTGAAAATCTCCACCTCTATGTCCAGAGGCCTCCGTGGCCATGATGGCCTAACTCTATTTCCGGCACGTCCAAGGTCCCAGGTAGAGCCCGGTCTCGAATCGAACCTAGAATAACTACGCAGCGAGTTCAGCCAATCTCTGTTGAAACTCATGATGACCATTACCGGCTACGAATGGTCAATGTATTCGAAGGCACGCAGTGTACCTCTTCCTTTATGAGATTTCTAGGCTTCGCCTCTGACTAGTGTTTTTCAATGGCGCTGTTGAAGGCGCTAGCCACAGCTTGGAAACGAGGTGCCCTTGTCTATTCTGTTTCTCACCGATCTCAGTTCGTTGGCGCGAGCCCTGCAAGGGACAGAAGCACGTAACGAAGGAAGAGTACCCACGTCAGTATATGGCAATATCGTAAGTAGTTCTAGTTTATATAAGCCAGTAAAATTCCGCTGATTTCTCTCTCATCAGATCTTGTAGTTACTTAAAAACGAACTATTTATCGGTTCGCCAAAAGTATACACAGCTGCCTCATCTTCTCAGAATTTACCCAATGATCTAACAAATCAAAAACGTACTTATAAAACGCTTGTATCATCTCGCTTTTGTGACGCAGCGGTAAAGATGGAAAGAAAAGTATTCTTCGCGAACGGAGCCTGAACATTAGGTTGGGGTGTAACCTGAATCGACTGGCAAATTCACCGGCCTAAGTAGCTAAAGCCCTAAAGCCTACTGAGATCAAACAAAAGGCTAACAATACGTCTATGATTAGATCGTAACGAGTCCTAGTGATTGCACGTGGCATTTACATGCACACATACACGCATGCGTCGCTCCATAGGTGGTAATTTACCTCTGCAATCGGCTAAAGTATAAATGAACGCATTGTTCTATTCTTGACAAGCACATTTCGCTACCTCTTTTAGGTGGTCAATGTAACTATTAGCGTCATTGGGTTTCGTTGTTGTCCGCAGCCGCTAGCAACAGTGTTCCACCCATCTCAGCCGTTATCCATCTTCAGTCATTACTAGCAGATAAATATGAGCTGAAACCGCGATACCTTCTTCACTGACGTCTAGAACAAACCGAGGCTACCTATATGTGATGCGCCCCATCACTATCACGGCGTCTCCCAGCATTTCGTACGTTTCTCGTTTGCGTCCCGTCGTCGTTGCTTACTTAAGCGTGCCCGGCCATTTCTTGTCGTACGCCCTGAGTGCTACGGCTTCCACGACCTTACGAGTCACATACGACTAGGGCTGCCGCCATGGCTGACATTTTTCGTGTATTATTTTTGACATACGACGAACGATTCGTCCAGGTTGTTGTGCCACCTTGAACCAGTCTGCGCAGCCCGCAGTAAACGCCAGACGCGTGAGTTCCCGTGCGTATCGAATGAATGGTTGGGGGGGGGGGGGGGGGCAGTCGCATCCTGAAATAGCTGCTGCCGCTTCTGTTGCACCCGATGTCAGAGGGCAAATATGTCAGAAGTCAGTCGCCCGCAACGGGCGGCTGGATACTGTCTCTAATTAGTATACCCTACGAAATAACTGCGAGAAAGAGGATTGACTCGATGACCTGATGGAACTACAAGCGCCTTAAGAAGGTAGAACGATTACCGCTTGCCTATAGCCACCTGTAGATTCCGAATTGGTGACTCAAAGGCGCGGGTCTCCTTTCAATATACGTGCTATATTTTAGGAATTGGAAAAATTTCAAAATTGATTCCACGGCGGCCTCAAACGTAACATGTGCGGATACTTCTCGTGCACTACTGAAGTCGATGGCAAAAAAATCAATATATCAACCGGATCGTAATAGCTAATGCCGTTAACGAATATGCCCAGTGCTAGTAATTATGAATGAAATCGTAGACCTCCAATATATTATTCACCAACCCAATTAAGGGTAAATATGCAGCCCATTTGCGATAATGCGTCGAATGAATTTGGTTATTAGACCTGGGTTCCAAACCAGCACAGAAAAGACGCACGGGTTGGCTGGCAAGTGTTGATTAGGGAGATTCATTAGATCGCAGGGGGTGACTAGAACAGAAATGATCATATTCATTTTACAGAGATGAATCTATATGATGAACAGTGATCGCGCACGCGTACTAAACACAAAATGGGTCCAAAACAAACACTATGTAGTGCAGTCTAGTCTGCCTAATCGACCACGGCCTGCTGATCTATGATATGGTAATTACAAGAGTAATTAGAAGGGATGAATGGTGGAAAATCAATAAAGTCATCTCATGTCTTGCTTGACTGGTCTATACCACGATCGTTCATGCCTTAATTTAGAATCAAGTTAATGGTAATGTGCCCGTCCGATATTGAGATTCTTTTCATATTCTTTTATCATGTTTCGTTTTTGCGGGGTGTACATTAAATACAGGCCTGCAAAGTCGCGGCCACGATTGGCGGTATCGTACCGATGGGTTTGCATCGGTAAAATTGCGCCAGTAGACAATCGAATCAGATCTATAGATAGTCCTACTAACGTCTAAACAGCGACCTCTACGGTGCCATCGTTATTGCAGTTGTCGTACGATTCTGGTTCATGAGTAGATCGAAAATGAGCTTTTCAGAGATAAATGACAGGGGTTTAAATACAGACGGTAACTAGACGAATCCTTTCGTGGTCGCAGTTAGCACTACCTGCGAATCTAGTTCAAGACCACAAGTCACTGCCTGGACTCTCTGGAAGCATAGCATTATATGTCAGTTGGGTGATATAAACGTCCACTTCAGACGGACTGCGACGCACTCACTCTTCCTATTGGTATTATTATTACTATTACTGGAAGCCTATTACTGGAAAGATGTGTTGAACTAAACGATATAGTCGTATGAATCTTGATTATGTGGGTTAGACAATTTTTGACCTCGCTTGCTGAACATAAACTTTGCACATATGCTTATTATTTGTGGCTTATGTCAGCGACCTTTTTCGGGCTTGGATCCAGCAGTGATTGAAAGCTTTTAATGACCTCGAAGCGCTAATATGGGCACACGACCCATGTTTTTTAGAATAATGTTATTTGATTCAAATTATTGTTAAATCGTCAAACATGATTAATAAGCTTGCACGGTACATATTTGTTCTGTAGTATGTGCTAGACCTGAGCAAATGTTCGTGATCAAAGCTATGAAATGGCTACTACATAGCAATCTAACCATTATCTTTGTGCAGGAAGTTGTATTTTAGAATGCTGACTGGCTCGTCGTATCGCCGCTAACTAGCCCCAAAATACCGTCTGTTTGTTAGAGATGTTTGGTTAATACGACCAGAACGTAAGTTAGTTTGAAAATGAGCGGCTTAATTACTACAACACCGTACTTGTCTAGTTTCAATCAAGTATTAACCCGGCTGAGGCAATAACCTATGATTTGTCCTGTACTCCTTTACCCTTTGTAGATTTGGAAATGCTTTCGTTAACGGCCCGTCACGGCCCGTTACCGTAACGTCCGTCTGCTCAAAATTACTTATTATGCCCGAAGCCGCTCGTGCGATCGAGAAGCTTGCGTTGAATATAATTTGTCTCGTTTCGATATCAGAGGACTAAAGTTTATTGCGGACTTATAAAGCCCTGACGTATACCAGGAACACTAGCCAAGTATCTGCCTTAATACTAAGTATTGTATGCACGATATTCATACGATGTTACGCTATACAGAATCAAACATAGCGTGTCCTCCTCTCAAGCGGCACATTGAACCCTATCCCATCATTATTTGCGCTATTTTATCCATAAGTAGAGTCAGCTAAACAGGCCACTTCGAGCTATTTCGTCTCATATGATTTGGGTTAACCCCCCCCCCCCCCTTCGCTTCCTCCTCCCCTCACGTGCAAGCAGACAGACATACGCAGACGAACGAACAGATGGACATCCATGCGCGCTCATCTATTCACATCTACACGCGTATAAATATATATAAACACACGTATAGTTTCACGTTTACACATACGTTCGCCGAACCATCGCCCACTACCACGCTTAATTCAGTCTAATCATGGCCAGCATTAGGTGAACCGCTAGGATAGCCGCCCTGCTTCTGCTCCCACCGATGGCCCGCTAGCGCCACCGCGAGCGCGAATTACTACCGCCGTTACGGCTACCGCTGTTGCTACTACCTCTGTATGATTTGCTTCGAGAAAAACTAGTAGGGAGATGACGGACAGACGATAAATCTAGCTCGTAAACACGGCACCAACGCCGTCATCGTCGTCCTCGATATCATCAGCAGCAATATTATCCGTCCTCATAAATTTAGCTAGTCCGTGGCTCCGGTCTTTGCCGCAACTTCTGACACGCCAAAATACAAATCTTTCCGCCCCCATCCCTCTCTGTCAAATCTGTTCTGTTATCATCTCTACTTACCTGCTATTTGCCACGAATACGACTGCCGCTAGGCAACTTGCATTCTCTCCTATAGTTCGTTTTTTTCGTCCAGGAACCCGCGCACACTTGCCACTAGATGGTGCTTCGGTCGCTAGCAGCTGCTTCGCACCTAGCGGACGACTCGAACATGATCGCCACCTAGCGGTCAGATTGTCGACCAGCTCTTTAGCTTACTCCTCCTCCTCCTCCTCCTCCGTAATTATCTTCTTTTCCAACAATCCATACATATTCTCTAGCAGCAATGCAGCAGCGCTACCTCGCACCCCCTGCTAGTCATTGAGAGGAAGTCGACAGTAGATGACAGCAGTTTTCCGTGGAAGAAGCAGCCAGGGCTTAGGCTGCTGCTGTTGCTGTTCGCCGTAACCGCGGTACACCGAAGCAAAAGTACCAGCGCCCGCAGTAGTGCAACACCCTTGCTATAGTTCGTTCTCATTGCAGCTGCTAGCGCTTCCGTCGCCGCTGCTTTTGCAGTGGTAAGCTTAGCAGTAGTAGTAGATTCTATTGGTCTATCTGTCGGTCAGTTTCTCGGCGTGTGTATGCGAAGGCTTAGGCTCTGAACGCAGCCGCTGACGGAGCCGCCGCGTGAGTTTGGCAGAGAGAACTATGTTTGGATGAGCAAAGCCGGCTCCCCGTGTGCTTGTCTATCGGATGTTCATCCAGTTGCCAAGTGGCGCTCGCCCGTAACACGGTGCGCACGTCTGAGGTTCAGCGACAGGCAACGGTCGCGATCGTGATCGGTCGTGGCTCGATGTTGTTGGAGTCTCGCGCATCTGTATAGGTCGTCAGTAAGTCGGGGCGCGACAACGTATGAACCTCTTCTTCTATAATATGAAGGTATTTCTACCAATTAAATCGGTTCGATTCCGACCTTGTTAACACAAAGATTATAAGATAAGATAGCTACGAAGACGGTGCTACGCCACAGTGCATTGTAGACTTCGTAAAGGAAAGAAGACATGATAAACAGGTGTCGGGTTGAGTCGTAATGTTAGAAATGAAATTGTGGACAGTTCGTGCGATGAAGACATCTGTCTGATTGTTTGATTAGTACAAACAGCGGGCGGACCGCGTATCGCTACATCGTACTTGATTGCCGGTGCTCCGTAGTGAAGTTGTGCATGTATGTTGTTCTAAGGCAATTGTGGTGGAGCTCGCCAAAAAAAAAGTAATGTACGCCCAGTGATTAGACCGCCATGCTTGTTTCCCACCGAATCAGCTGTGGATAGTTACTCTATGGATAACGTTCAGATTGCCAGCAGGATAACCGCACTCGAGGTGACTTCAGCCTCCCGATAGGTCGAGACAACTGAACTAAGGGGTAAGAACGCAACAAAAGGAGTGATTGCACCTATTACGAAGGATGTTTCGGCCGTGTAATTTAGGTAACTCCGTGAGCAGGCTAAGCGATCGGATGCCACTTGTCACAATTGGTTCAGGGATTTTCGCTGGATTGCCGACCACCGCAGTCACAGCTGCGAAACTGCGCAAATGCAGGAGACAATCGAGAAAATACTCTCTAGAGATAAACGAATCGCTCTTGTATCTTCAAGAGTGCTAGCAAGGCAACTAGATGATAAGTTCTGGTAAACTTAGCTCGCAAGACCTTTCCCGTGGTTAAAAAACGAGCCGTACCTACGACCGTTTGAAGTCCCATTAATTAGTTTGTTTCATTGAAGTTGGAGCCCGCAGTAATGATAATAACAATGATACATCATGAAAGGACGTATTAAAGTATTTGGGCACGCCAACAAATTCTGTTGACAACGACTTGGCTATTTATGGGCATTGTCCTGTTCTTAAAGGATGGTTACCGGGCTCGTTCGCTTCCTGGTCCAGTGGTTCAAAGCGTGAAATGGTTACAGAGCAAAACGGGGTGGGGTGTGGGGGGCATTGTAACTGACGATCACGCCTACTCCAGAGCCGCAGATGCCTTCGTTAGCTCCATGGGTGAAACGAACGTCGATTACAACAGCATTAACAAGAAACAGGTCGGCCACCGGCCTTTTATGTCACCTGTGGCGCCAAACAGGCACCCCGCAACTTTACGAGCTAGTCGAAAGACGCTTGTTGAGCTACCAATTTAAACGACATAAACGAAGAAAACCAAATAGAACGCCATATATAACATAATACATATATAAAAATAAATAATTGGTTGTGCTGACCGGCAGAAAATACATTTTGACAAAATACTTGCCAAGAGCCACTGGCATGGTAATGAAAAGATATTTATACGTCCGTAGCAAAGTCCAACGCTCCTAACAATATCGTTAGAACGTAAAGATTCGCAGAAGTTTTCCCAACAAGCACATTTGAATAGTATGAGGCTATTGCCGTCACGGGAACCATCTGCCAGCTGACGCGGCGTGAGTGTCCAAATCTATTTCAACTTATACACATTATTGAACCAGATGTGTGTACACTTGACATCGTGGAGGGACGGCTCTAGAGTTGGTAAGCGTGCTTTAGTCAGAAAAATATTAGATTAGACTTGAAATACAACGAGCATTTGGCATCACGCTATAGGACTGTTGAGCCAAAGGTCTCAGCGAAAATAACAAGTAATAGATACATTTGTATATATATATATATACGCATATACCACAAGTAGATTTTTGTTATTGTTGTCGGCCATGCTTCTAAGCTTTGTAACTGCGTCGGCGATCAAACTTACGACATAGCATTACCATTGATTTTACGTTAGTCAATGTCGAGTATTGTGGTTGAGTTTTTTTGGCTTCTGAAAGACGTTCCAGAACGCGCTCTGCGGCTTATGTTGAAGCTGGAAAAATGCTATCCGTCTATAGAGATCAATTCGAGTTCGAATTACTACGTCAGTTATAGCATCAGGACGGAGCCAGTAGGCACAAAAATCCTAGGTTGGCAGCTGCGATACGTTTCGTTTACACAGCTTCCAACCTTGATGGTCCGTTTCAATTTCAAAAGTTACGCTGTTCAGCATCGACTAAAAAGGACCGCACAACTCGACTCACGCTCTGAGACAACGCTATACGTTTGCCTAAAGAGCAGACGTAATGAGACGGCCTCATTTATGAATGATCTAACATGCATTGATGCGAGAAAGTCTGAAAAAACGAAAATCATAGGCCTTTTTTCTTAGGTCAGCTAGGCGTCTATCACATCTGACGGTAGCTGTTGGATTGACATACTAGCCACGTCCTACTATCTAAGCTATATTTACACTGAAATATCATAGATGTTTCTGTGTTGCTGAGAAATCAGAAACATGAAGGCAACAGATAGAAACGCTAGAAATGAGACGCTTCAATTTCAAGTAGTCTCTTATCTCTTCTTGACATGGCACTGTTCAGTTATTAAATGTTTTACCTGCACAATTACAAAGTTATCTTTGTTCCGAAATGGAAATCTCAGAGAAAAGCCGATGCCAATAATATTCACAACGGATTGTATCGAAGATTAGATAAAGTAACAGTCGTATGTTATAGTCAGAGGCTTTTCGGTGATTGCTGATAACAACTAATGCTGCTACAGTTAACAACCCGGGGCGTAGAAGTACACGATTCATGTCGACAGCTTAGATGTAGCTGTTGGCAATTGAAATACGTACTTCGTGTTATCTCAGCTTGTAGTTAACAGTCTATCTAGCATGAGCCCCGATCAGATAGATATAGAACTAAGGAACGTCGCTCTGCGCATTGAACGTCCCGTTTATCACCTCTGGTAAGCGTCATTTTTTCGTTGTGATCCACAGTGAGGCTCGCGTGCATAGAACATACAGATCTTGTCAGCGGCTGTACATAATCACAGTACATTATACAGGTGTGCCGTAACGGTATGTGGGTGGGCGGAGGGATACGAGCACCACCGAACGTAAATGGAGAAGTGTCATGTATACGAATAATGAACGACAACGGTAAGCAACGCAAGCTTTATGGGATGGTACAGGACACTGAACCATGTAATCCTCCGTGGTCGACGTTCGCCAATAATACGCGCGTGCGTATCGTCATATTCTATATGTAATTTAGCACATATATATATGTCTTTCTACCGATTCCATAGACTGTCCGTTTTTGTTTTTCGAGCTTCCAGCTATTTAAAAAGCGGCCACTTCTCTGTTTGAGATTAAGAGACTAATTGAGGTTATAACAATATTTCTTTTGAAATGAATAATATGTTTGCGATTTTGACACAATTCGTGTAAGAGATAAATTAATGCCTCCGTTTCGAAATACTGGCCCCGATCAGAGTTTCCGTCTATTCGGTAGACTTGTTTAAATACACCATATAAATTGCCTGCGACAGAAAGCGCTGCACGTAGAGAATAGTCCAATATGTGCGAGCTCAGTCCAAATCTATGGTACGGGCTACAAACAACAGTCATGCAAAAAAATCCACACGTGTCGACCCCGCCTACTGCTAACGGGAACCCGGTCACACTACTGTTTCTAGCGGGTATTGTTCATTCGGACATTACAGGTCACGATCTAGCCACTTGAAGTACCATGTCATAATTATATAGTCATTTAGCAATGTGAACCTCTAGTTCCCGTACGCAACAGTACATAAACGTAATAAAGATAAATCCATAAGAGTATGATAAAAATAGTCGTATTCGACTTAGCTTGCTGACTGCAGTGATCTTGTCTGTCCTGTGACAGCTCAGTGTATGCCTATTAGGCTTAGGGAGACGCGGTAATCCATGTCTAAATCCGGCCGTGGAGACAGTTCATTGCGTGCTCTGAACCAGCCGTCTGATGAAATGTCCGACGGCGGTGCCGAATGTAAAAGTAAAAAAATTTGTGCGGCTTGTACCTGACATAGATCTACGATTATGTATAGTTGATAAATGGCAAATTTGTGGTGTCATTGAATTTGCGTGGTTCTGAGATTTCATTTTTGGTAATGATATAGAATCATAGATCAGAAGAGCAGTAACGATGGATGCACTGGCAATAATCGTTGTGAGAAATAATAAAGACGCGCTGATGCAGCTTTTTAAGAACGCATTTAACTCACGACGACGACGACCAAAACTAGACGAAAACGGATTTACGACGACAGCTGTTGGCACATTTACTAAACAGTTGCCCCATACCGTTTTTTTATTTGCAGTGATGGGCCGATCCGCCAACTTTTTTTTCGTCTTGAAGAAATCATGATCAAATCACATACGACGAACGGCGGCAGGCAAAAAATACGATATAAATCGGCCAGCTTCACTAGCGGTGTTACTCCCGATTGATCGACGGCATTGGTGCTTTGTTGTCGTTTTTACTGCCATTCTTATGACTCTGCTCGAGTATTGTGCTCTGTTTTACCTTCGGCCTGTTTGAAAATAGGCTAACTAACTGAACACCTCAAAAAAGACGTTGGCCGAAAGATGCGCATCATTTATTGATCTGGGTGAACTTACATGAAACGAAGAATTTGTCCTCTTCGCTTATCTATCACTTGAGTCTTTGGTCTTATTGCAATGTTTACAATCTATCATGGAACATTTCGTTGACTTCGCAGTCTTTATGTGGAATTATAATTAGCGTGTTCTGCTTAATGTGCTCGTATAGCAAATTGCATAACATAATAATCTATCGTGTTGAATTAGACGAAATTATCGTAAGTGTTACCCCGATGAAAACAGCAGCCTATGTTATTGGTTTATTAAAGCAGTATTCTTATTTCCGTTATTAGTCGGTTTCAACCAGAAACTCTTGTTAAATCTTATTCTACTATAATCAGTAAAATAAACGTAACATTAGAATTTGAGGGAAAAATGGCCCTATGGTGATGCAGAAAACGAGCAAAAGTTTGGTGCCTCGTAGCAGTCTCACGAGCAGCTCGACAAGCACATATAAGACGAAAAAAAAAATAAGAAAATCCACAAATAATACTTCTATTAATCGTCAGAGCTCTTCGTGCCTCGCACAGATAAACATCGACGCATATTCTCTGTAACGATGCGTCGTAACCGAAAAACTACGCACGCCGCTTTTTACCAATGGCTCCATATTGGGAAAAAAGGGAATAAAGAAGGATAAGGAGCGAAAGAAAACGAGAGGGAGCGAATATATAAGTTACAGAGACCCGTTTTACGTTGATGGCAGTGGTGGCGGGAACACGAAAACCGGCTTTCAGGCTGAGACGGCCTCGCCATCAATCCATCCGACGTCGGATCAGAACATTTGCCTAGTAGTAGCAGTAGTAATGCGGCATAACCGAAATATGCGCACGCATGTTTTTTTGCCATTTCGGTCAGTTTTTTTTCGAGGTCGCCACCGTATTATGAACGGGTCAAAGGGGGTTGAAGCTTGATGACTGTTCGACGTTCGCTGCTAC